TACTCACAGCCACCCCAGCATCGACCTGCTAGACTCCGGCAATTCTTCCACCTCAGCCTACCAAGTAGCTGGAACTACAGGCGTGCGCTACCACACCTGGCTAATTTTTGATTTATTGTAGAGACGAGGTCTCGCCAAGTTGCCCAGACTGTTCTTGAACCTGCAGGCTCAGGCAATACAGCCGCCTCAGCCTCCCAAAGTGCTGGGATTACAGGCTGAGCCACCAAACCCAGCCAAATCCTGTTTTCTTAAAAAAAAAAAAAAAAAAAAAAAAGGTTGGTTTTCCAGGACTATTCAACTTTACAGATATGGTTTTAAATATTGCTGGAAATGACTGAAAAGCAGTTATTTTCTACTACTAAAGGAAATAAAATTCTTTCTTGATCTTAAACAAAAAGTATCACAAAATTCAATGTATACATTACCTTGACAAAGAGAGGAAGTCTATTTTCTTTGAAGGCAAAAAAACTGAATATATGATGTTGGCCACTCTTGGTTAATGGCACCAGGTTGCCAAAACAATCAACATAGATGGGTTTTCCTTCTAGTACCTAGGTGAAAACAGAGAAAAATAACACAGATTAAAAACACTGCAGTTATAATGTATTATTTACACAAAAAAGAAATGGTGGCACTACTTAGAAATTTACATTTTTAAAATATACACACAACAATCTTTAAACTGCCGGCTGACATTTTGTCTTACTGTGGCAAAGTATGTTCTAGTACTCCTTCTTACTATAATGGGAATCGTGAGTGTATGGTGACATTTAATTTAAAGCCTAAAATAACTTTCTTTTCTTCCTTCCTTCCTTCCTTCCTTCCTTCCTTCCTTCCTTCCTTCCTTCCTTCCTTCCTTCCTTCCTTTCTTGTAGAGCTTGCCTCCTTTGTTTCCCTTCTCTCAGGAATCACTACACCATATAGCCAGTGTTATGATTTGAATGTGTCCCCTCCAAAATTCAAGTGTTGCCATTGTGATGATATTAAAAGGTGGACCTTTAGAAGGTGGTTAGGCCATGAGGGCTTCTCCCTCATAAACGGGATAGGGCCCTTATGAAAAGGGCCTTCACATAGCATTTAGGTAGCTTGCCCTTCTGCTTTCCACCATATCTTCAAAGACACACAGAGGTACCCTCCCTCTGGAGGATGCAGCAATAAGGTGTAGTCCTGGAAGCAGACAGCAGCCCTCACCAGACAGTAGAATCTACGAGCGTCTTAATCCTAGACTTCCAGCCACTGTGAGAAATAAATTTCTGTCGATTATAAATTAGCCAGTCTCTGGAATTTTGTTATAGAAGCACAAATAGACTAAAACAATATCCTAATACCTGAAAACATGTGTCCAGTTTTATGTGTTCATGGTGAGAGGGCTAGTCTGGTACCAGCTACTGCATAATGGAGAAAGTGGAAGTCCTTTTATTTATTTATTTTTAACTGTTCCTTTTTCAACTTTTGGGGGCTGTTGCCAAACTGCTTTTGTTTGTTTTCCAACACAGACTTTTAAGGCTATAGCTTTCACCCACAAACATTGCTTTTAGCTTTATCCCACAAATTTAGCTATATAGTATTTTCATGATTGCTTAATTAAAATATATTCTAATTTTCATGGCTTCTTCTTTGGCCCATTATTCAAAAATATAACTATCGGCCGGGCTCGGTGGCTCAGCCTGTAATCCCATGCCTTTGGGAGGCTGAGGTGAGGGGATTGCCTGAGCCCGCGGGTTCAAGACCCGCCTGGGCAACTTGGTGAGAACTCATCTCTACAAAAAATCAAAAAATCAGCCGGGCGTGGTAGCGCATGCCTGTAATTCCGGCTACTCGGAATGCTGAGGCGGAAGGCTCGCCCAGCAGGTCAAGGCTGCGTGGCCAGGAGTGGCCACTGCAATCCAGTCTGGGTGACAGAGTGAGACTCCAACTCAAAATAAATAAATAAATAAATAAATAAATAAATAACTATCATTTCCACAGCTATGAGTCCTTTGTTGAATATATGTATTGCAAGTACCTTCTCATGTATGTGGTTTATTTCTTTTTTCATGTCATGTAGGGTTTTTTTTACTTTCTTATAGTCATATCCTTTAATGAACACAATTGCCTAATTTTAATGAAGTCTAATTTATGAAAAATTTTTATGGTTAGTCTCTTTTGTGGCCTATTTAGGACAATTTTGCTTATCCTAGCACCATGAAGATATTCTCCTATGTTTTACCTAAATATTCGTTTTTTATAGTTAAGTTTGTGATGCATCTTGAAATACCTTTTGAAGACAGATAGAATTAATGAAGTGCTTTTTTATAAATCAGGTGACTACATAGGGTTAGATCTGTTTCTGGAATGTATTCTGCTCCATTTATTTATTATCCTTGTGCCCTTATTAAATTCTAAATTTAGAATTCTAATTGGGTAACTTGACATCACAATGAGTCAAGTAATTGAACTTTAATATTCGAAAACTTACACTGATAAAGAAATTCTGAAATAAGAAAAAGTAATGTAGAAAAACACTGGTATTCCATTTCAACATTTATGCAAAAGGACATATTACTCAGACGTTTTTGTTACTATTTTAAAAAAAGAACAATAAGAAAAAACAAGAACAAATATATACGAACTGTTATAGTATAATTCACACTTTTTCCCTAAATAATCTTTAAAGGAAATCTTTAAAGATCTTGAGTTCATCTCCATAGAATAGGCTCAAACTGGCTAAAGATAGCAGATTTTGAACCTCGACCTCCTAATTGATCAAGATATGAACTGGTCTTTCATTTGTAATAACTCAATTTATTAAATCCTACTTGAAATATAATCTGTTAATAGGGCATGACAACAAGGCATAATTTTTTTTAAAAAATACAATACCTCCACATCCCGGCTTCTGGCCACCTCAGCAAAGTTTTCCTGTTGTTCAAGGGTTTTATCCACTTTATCATCAGTCATGCAGAAACATCTCAACCTGGCTTCAATGGGGTCATGTGATTTGGCAAACACTACAAATTTGGCCATATAAGGTACACAGATAATTTCTCTATATACTTGTGATGCAAAGGTAACGGATTCCTGGATCTGTCGACAATCTATTAGCCAGAACCTATGAAAAGAAATAAAATCAGTTATCTAAAGTTTAAAGTATATCACTTAAAAAAGAAAAAAAAATCAGTCAGGTGTGGTAGCTCACACCTGTAAACCCAGTACTTTGGAAGCCCGAGGTGAGAGGATTGCCTGAGCCTACAGGTTCAAGACCAGCCTAGGCAACTTGGCGAGACCTCATTTCTACAATAAATAAAATATTAAACAGGTATGGTGACACGCGCCTGTAGTTCCAGCTCCTCTGAAGGCCGAAGCAAAAGGATTTCCTGAACCTAGCAGGTAGAGGCTGTGGTAGCCGTGAGCATGCCACTGCACTCCAGCCTGGGCGACAGAGTGAGATTCCGACTCAAAAAAATCGTTCTTTTAATATGAGCAAAGTAGTTATCAAATGCTTCTTGGAAAAAACAAAGGAATTGACAGAGGGAGATAATGAAAGAAAGTCAAATGAAAGAGAGAAAGCAAGACAGATGAAGAGAAAGGTGTGAGAACAGATGGGAAGGCAGAGGTAATAAGGGAAAGAGAAAGATCAGGCTCTTTAGATCAACTATTAGATATTGTGTTAGTAACTTTCTTCTTTGGAAACTCTTCTGAGTAGTCAATCTTTTGAAATATTAATACATCTTCAGTGTTTTAGCAACCTTTAAGTGATGAGCTCAATCATGTCCTGAAACTCTTTCCAACAAAATCTATCTAGTTTTTCCTCATCTCATCTTTTCCAAGGAACCCTCCTTTCACCAAGGTCGGTCAACTCAACCATTTACAAAATCTGTTCCAGAACTCTTAAGTATTGCTGAATAGAATTCATAGAAGAGATTCTTCGCTCTATGACTTTATGGTTTCCAGCCTCATTTAAGTCTGTGGCATTGACTGGCAATTTTCCTGCACAAGTATCATTTTACTTAGTATGCAACATTACTAAACATTTATGACAACCCTCGAGCTCCACCCCCCACCACAGGCCCTAAGAAAGATAGGAGAAAGCGGAAGTCATCAGATAGGAATTTTTCTATTTGTTATTTATAGACTTCCAAAGGTTTATTCTGTATTCTCTTGTTTTGGAGCATTTCTCCAATGATTACTTCCCCTGTCTTATTTCCCATCATCTTTCAACATTCTTGAGATTTCCTTATTTTCATAGGCTCTCTTTCTTTCAAGTTCTTGATCCATCTCTCTTTTATTGTGCTAAAATATACATAACATAACATGTATAATTTTAGCCATTTTTAAGTGTACAATTCAGTGGTTTTTAATATATTCACAATGTTGTGCAAACATCATCACTATTACTTTCCAGAACTTCTTTATCATCCCAGACATAAATTATACTCACTAAACAATAACTCTCCATTTCCCCCCTCACTCTAGCTCCTCGTAACCTCTATTAAACTTTGTCTCTATAAATTTGCCTGTTCTAGGTACCTCATATAAGTGGGATCAAAGCACTATTTGTCTGGCTTATTTCAATTAGCATAATGTTTTAAAGGTTCAGCAGAGTTCCTAGCTCATGGCAGGCACTCAAAATTACTTTCCTCTTTTTACTGATCCAACTATATTTTATTCTCTGTTTTTTCAATTGTCTGAAAGTTAAATTATCAAAACAGAACTGTAGATGCAATAGTTGATCTCTCTGGGTGGCTGGAAACATGTGTCACCACAAGTCAGCTATTGCTGTGCAGTTATTAACTATTCATGCATTTTAATCCCCCCTCATAGGAATTTACGTTTTAATCACTTTCAGCACCAGTCTTCTCATCTGTAAAATAGATATAGTGCCTCTTGCTCTACTTAAGTCACAAAGTTTGTAGTATCAAATTAAAGAAACATGAACATTCTGAGCAATCAATTTAAGAGCACACAAATGGGCACTAATATTAATAAACTGAGTTAATGTGTGCAGAAGAAATAAAACTAGGTAGCTTTCATTTTTTAAAGATGTGTGATACATGGGTGGGAGATACACAAATGTGATAGGATGTATAAGAGATTAGAAACTCCTAAGCCTTTTAAGCAAACCATGGTAAGCTTTGTGTTATCATTCTGTTGGAAAAGTAGTTCAGGCTATTTTGTTGACAATAGGAAATTATCGTTCCTAAGGCCTTTGGGACTGGAAAAATCAGCAGTGACTGCTGGAGCCTGAGTCAGAATCACACAGCCAAGGCAGACAACCACATATTTTCCTTAGATTTTAATCTGACTGGGCTTACTTTGTTATGGTATGGTCATTATTACATTTCCTGACAAGTCTAATTTAAAATATGAAAATAAATGCAGACCATATTTAGAATCAAACAGAAAATAACTTTTAAAGCATAAAGAAACAAAACAAAAAAAGTGTTTTGGAGGGGGACAGTATAGTGAGTTTTTCTGTGCTCATAACTATACCTGGCAGACACGTTGGTTGTAAAGGAAACACATTCATTGACAAATGTTAATGGCGTAGTTCCTGTAATATCTTCCCACTGAGCTGGGGTGGTTCCACCTGAAATAATATGATTGGTGAAAAAAAAAAATTAGCAAGACTCCAGAATCTGGATTCTAAAATAAAGTTTCTGAGGTTCTGTCTGTGTTCACCCGCCCAATCCCACCCACCCCCCAAAATGACACATTGAAAACAAAATAACTACAAACTACATGCTAAAAAAATGATACACTGAAAACAAACAGCAGACTCTACCTCTCAAGGAACTAAATTTAAGGGAAGTTATTTGAATAATGTCTACTAAGCATTCTATTCTCTGCCCGACATTCTAAAGCTTTTATTGTAATTGCCAATCTCTGAAGATAATTTTGAATTGTATACAGTTGACTATTTTAAAAGATTTTGACCAACAATGGGGTTGAATACTTTGTTAAAATAACGAAAAATCTAAATATTCTTTTGGTCCTACACTTCATTTTTTATGCAACTATTTTCAAAAAATGAAATTTCCTTTCAATTTACAATTGAAGGGTGGTAAAAAAAATGCTTGGAAAATATTAAGAGCTCAATTAATATTGCAGGGTGAAAGAAAAAATAAGTGAATGACAGAGAATGGTCTCTGAACATAGAAAAATCACCATGAAGGCTGAGGATGACAACTTGACCTTCATTTTTACTGAGGAATTAAGATGACATGGATAAGGACAAAATTTTAGTCAAAGTGCTGAAGGAGGAATACATGCTTAAGAAGAAAAAAATCTTGACTGTAAAGTTTCTTGAAGAAGGGAATGACTGATCAAAGTAAAGTTATGGAAGTTTATTCTAGTAGGCCTTTAACATATATATATATATTCTTACCGTAACAGTAAAATACAGCAAACCTGGCCAGGCGCAGTGGCTCAAGCCTGTAATCCCAGCACTTTGGGAGGCCGAGGTGAGAGGATTGCCTGAGCCCAAGGGTTGGAGACCAGCCTGGACAACTTGGTAAGACATCATCTCTACAATATATCAAAAAATTAGCTGGCCATGGTAGCGCACGCCTATAATTCCAGCTACTTGGAAGGCTGAGGCGGAAGGATCACCTGAGCCCAGCAGATGGATGCTGGAGTGGCCGTGAGTGTGTCACTGCACTCCAGCCTGGGCAACAGAGTGAGACTCTGACTCAAAAAAAATTAAAAATAAAATACAGCAAACTACAAAATCTCAAATGCCCTGGTATTTTTAAAATTAATACATAAATTTATTTATTAATTAAAAAATAGTTTTAGTTAAATTTGATAAATTGTTAAGTAGAAACCTATCTGAAGCCATAGAACTAGAATAAAATAGAGTATATGGTGTCTAGGCCCATATGTATCTTCACTTGATCATAACAAGGGCAGGGCATGCCCCACACAGTCTTCAGTATCACCTGTTTCATGTCCGTGCCATTATAGTGTACATCATTGAAGATTAATCATGTACCCATATTCCACATGCCATATACTCCATATACCCATGGAGCAAACATTATGTGAAAGATACCCAGGGATGATAGGTAATAACCAGAAATGAGCTATTGGAAAAGAGATTATAAATGAAGCACATGGTTCCCTTCTACATTCATTATAGTCCATGTCTTTTAAAATTTTGTCATATAATTAAACTCACGGAGTAATCTCAATAGCTCTCTATCATAAGAACAGAAAAACACATTTACAAGAAAGAAGAGTTAGAGAGAAAAAATTAAATAAGGGTAAACATTTCTGCCAATATAAAAGAGAAATAAAAAAATTTAACATAATCAAAACAATTAGGAATGGTTATTGCTCCTACTAACAACAGTTAAGATTTACTGAATGTCAACACCATGTAATTATTGATAAATAGGACAATTATCAGTCAAATCATGTAACCCTAAAACAGGTTATTTCTGTGGTTTGGTTTGGTTTTGCTTTTTTTTTTTTGGCTCTTACTATTTGTGTTGGTATTGTTATAAAGTGACAACAAATGACCAAAATTCAGTTAATTATTAAAAATATTTTGTTTTTCCAAAGCTACTTAAATAGATCAATGATGGACATAACCAGTTCCTAGACAGAACAGTTTGTTTGAACTATTGGGTATAATTATTCAAGTTGCTATGCTTTTCCCCCACAAGATATAAGGTGATGTAATCAATAAAGGCTTGAAACCTGGGTTATGGAGGTACATGGGTATATGGGTTTGAATCCTAGCTCTGCTAAATATTTATACTATAACTTGGGTGAATTATAGAACTTCTTTCAACCTTGGTTTTTTTCAGCAAAATGGGGTGAGAATTTCCTCATAGGACTACTGTGAAGATTATAATGACAATGCATATACTGTCTAATAGTTTGTCATATAGTATTTATTTAGTAACAGTTCATCTTCTTTCACCTTTCATTTCCCTAGTTAATTAAAACACATTCCCCAAATTAATGCCCTGAAGACATCTTATGACAAAGTTAATTTAATATTTACAACAATTGAAGTTTCCTTTTCTGGAACTCTCTACTAACATAACCACATGTGGCTCACCTGTTATGCTGCATAGTAATCTTAAGGTTGGTGCATCTCCCCCAAACCCATTCAACATGACATCACTTGAAGCTTTGGGGACAGGAATGGTCATGGTAATTGGCTTGTGGAATTTTCTTCTTCTAGGTTCCAAAGTGACTATAGGACTGAAGGTAGCTTTGTTGCCTAGGATCTTCTTAACCAGATCACTGTGCATAGGTTGAGCCTTTTTCAAATAAAGAAAAACATTGAAAAAAAGCAATGTGTCATTATATTTAACCTCAAGTTTGTCATCCAAAGCAGAGTTTTAAAAAAAATCTTAAAAGCAGTTTTAATGGTCTTAAAATAATGGCAATCATAAGTTTAGTACTAGGCACTCATATAACATTTTTCTCATTTGAAAAGCTAATTTTTAATCATTGGAGTCAAATCCATGTTAGGATCATCTGCATCTCACACGGGCATACCTGTAGGCCTACACGGATCCGCTTGGTTAGTGCTCCCTCTGGGAAGACAGCCTGCACCTGGGGCACCACTGTGCTACTCAGCACACCTCCCTCTGGACCAATCAGGTTGCTGTCCTGTTTGATGCGCGACACCACTGCAAAGTACTGTGGGAAGTCTCGGGTGATGATGCGGCAGATGCGTTTCTTTTCCAGGTCTTCCGGGCTATCCAGCACTGAGACAAGAAATGACCCATCTTCATTCATATAGCAAGAATGTCCTTCTGAAAGCATTCTAGCAAACTCATCAGCATGGTTAATAGTGAATGGATATGGCAGAAAAAACTTTTTTTAAAAATAGGAAAATTTAAAAAGCAAGGATCTCCTAACAAAACCAGAAAATAACTGCAGTCTTTCAAGAACTGTCAGCATTTACTTGCACGTTTTCTTTCTTTGTGAAAACAAGCACTTTCCAGGTCACTGTGAAAGAAAAGCATCCCATTCCAGATACAGCATTGCCAGGCCACCATTTTACTCGAGGGACATGAGGGCAAAACATGGAATGAAAATGAACCCGTTCTATTCTTGGTTCATGAGATGGTGAGAAAGTTGTTTATGAACTCCTTTTTTCCTGCAAATCTCAAAGTTAGTTCAAACACCAGTTATTGTGGTTTTTTTAATAAGAAGTAATATGGTTCTTTGGGTTCTCGGGGGAATAGTGCAGGACTAAAATCTGTCTTCAAAGGGTAGGGTTTGTTTTTATGTGTTTACTTCAGTGGGCTGGTTGTGTCTGAGATAGTCACTGTGGATATAAAAAAAGATCAGTGATTATGAATTCAGAGTTTTAATATTCCCCCGATGCCATTAACTTACCAGATATATCATCTACTATCAGATGGGCTGAGATTATGGGTTCTTTATAAATTACATTAAAGTAGACATTTAGGGCAATACAAAAAAATCAGACTGGTTTAAAATGTAGAAAATGTGAACTAAGCGGATTATTGAATTTTAAGGGATTATGGAAAGTTGTTCATTTTGGTTTTTGGTTTTTTTTTGAGTTGGAGTCTCACTCTGTCACCTAGGTTGGAGTGCAGTGCCATGCTCATGGTCATCGCAGCCGTGACCTGTTGGGCTCAGGTGATTCTTCCAAGTAGCTGGAACCACAGGCGTTTGCCACCATGCCTGGCTAATCTTTTGATTTATTGTAGAGAAGAGGTCTCGCCATGTTGCCAGGCTGGTCTCTGACCCCTGGGCTCAGGTAATCTTCTCGCCTCTACCTCCCAAAATGTCGGGATTACAATCATCATGAACCACTGCATCCAGCAGAAAGTTGTTCAGTTTAAAAATTGTTTACAGTTTATTGCAGAGACAGGAACAGCAACTGGGTTTGTCTTGACTACTGGATATCACTAGATAGTAAAAGCAAAAAGTCCCAGGATCTGCTCCTCTATAATTAGAGACTTGAGGCATTGGCAAATACCAGTACATACTTATGAAAGAATATATTTTCAAACATAAAAACAGAAACATACACACATCTGATCCTTTGTTTTCAAGTGAGCTTTTTCATATGTAGAAAGTTCTAAAAGTGGGTCCCCATCCAAGGACAAGATACTACTACTCATTGGCAGTGTCCCTGACAGGTAAATATCTCAGAGGAAAATATCCTAGACCTAAACATTAGCAAAAGAAATGGTCCTCAAAAGTAGAAACAGCTAACTAAGTATTTCAGGGAACGAGCTTTATCTATAAAAACCTGATCTTTTTACCTTGCTTAGTAGATACTGACCTACATATCTAGAGTATCTCCTCATTTCTTTCTCTATCTACCCCTTGGACAAGGTAAGCCTAGCTTCTGTTCTTATTCAGATCTCGGTCAGATGCAGAAAGAAATACTTAAGGAGCTGTGGTCTGGCTACTCTTTCCTATCCATGAGTCAAACCCAAAGCCAGTCATCTTAGAAGACATGAACTTGATAAACAGTTAATCTTGTTCCTGAGTATCTAGTTCTGTATAAAACCTGGTATGCTCCTAGCACTCAGGCAAATAACTTACCCTATCTGTGTAGTCACTTAAAGTGGAATGTGCCTCCTGGTATCAGGACTAGGACCTTTTCTCTGTGCAACCGATGGAGACCTGTGAATGAGTTGCTTCCCTCTAGTCAAATTAAGATATTACAACCTGTGGTTTAATGGCCCAAGACAGATTTGGGATTTACAGATATTAAAGTTCTAATAAAAATTGAGTTTCTCAACTGGATGTGTATGTGGGTATATGCAATTCAATCCTGGCTAACTCCCTGTTTGAATTATAGGTCGAAGACAAAATGAACATCATTTTCCTACCTTCTTAACAATAGAAAATTTAAAAAATAATATTATTCTCTAATGTACTAGCTGTGGTAGACGTAAATTTTCCAAAAGAATAGCTTCACATGTTTTAATCAGTGTCTTAACTATCTAACGTTTCAAATTAGACATTAAAAAATGGATTTATTATTCAGTATCAGTTTATTTTGTATTGAAACAACCATGCCTATTCTATCTCTTGTCTTAGGTTCAAAAAAGTTTACACTAAAGATAGAATCATGCTCTCTTTAATAAAATGAGACATTTGCTATCTTAAAAGATTTTACTTTGCTGGATGTAACAGAAGTAAGAAATTTTTCTTTTGAGTTGGAGTCTCACTGTCACCTAGGCTATAGTGCAGTGGTACGCTCATGGCCACCACTGCTTCGACCTGCTGGGTTCAGGCGATCCTTCCATTTCAGCCTTTCAAGTAGCTGGAACTACAGGTGTGCACCACCATGCCTAGCTAATTTTTTTTATTTATTGTAGAGACAAAGTCTCACCATGCTCCCAGGCTAGTCTCAAACCTGTGAGCTCAGGCAATCTTCTTGCCTCTGCCTCCCAAAGTTCTGGGATTACAGGCGTGAGCCGCTGCACCTGGCTCAGAAGATTAAGTGAAAGTACTGTGCATTCCAACTCATCACCTGTGGAGCACAGCAGAGCACCTGCTATAAGAAAATAACACGAGGGACACACACAACCCTCGATCATAAAGAAGTGCATCCTTTTCATGTTTCCACTTTAGACTTCTTTAAAAACCCTCGATCTGAAGGTACCTTCATCCATGCCGTTAAGAATCTCGTTCAACTCGTCTTCGGTGTATTCACAGTAATGCTCTTTCCAGCTGTCACCATTCTCGCTGCGCAGGACCACCAGTTCCCGCTCCTTTCCTCGAAGGGCCGCAAAGTGAGGGATCTCCACGATCACAGGCCTGACATAGCAATGCAGAACCTTTAGTGTGGACAGGAGCTAACCAACAGCAAGACAAGCACCTCGCCTCTGTCTGTTGCAAAGTGACCTGGAATTCTTCTCTTTCTGGGGACAGGGACATAGCAGGCCATCCTCCGGAGCCCACTGGTTAGCAGATGGTCACCCAGTAGCACTCCACCTTGGGGGCACCAATCCTCAGATACATGCTGCTACCTTAAGTCAAAGGATGTTTCCCTGTGAGTGCATGTGGCATTCTGGAACTTCTCCTTTGATAAATGTAAGTATAACACATTTAACCAAAAGAAACGTACATGCATATCTATGACATGTGCCAATCTCCTAAAACATTTTCTATAAGGTGCAAAATGACAAAATGGTTTAAGAGAGAAAATGGCTCACACGTTGCATAATTTGATGTGCCGTAAATGAGGAGATGTCAGAAGAGCTGACTACTTGTGAACTAAAGAGCCATGCACTCGTGGTTTTTGCTTATATTTTCTTCATTCAAGGGAACAATAGGCATGTGTACACAGTGTGGCTCTAATTGAGCCCATCGGCAGACAGCCTGACTCTGTCCAATGCCTATTATACTCAGGATCCAGAGCATGCACTGCCCTATTATTTTTTAGGTCACATTCATCCTCAAAACATATAGAGGCTTTGGATTTTTGAGTCCAGGTTGCTTTGATACAGACTCCAAATTCATCATAACAACATCATAACTAGCACATAGTACAACTAGGCAGATCTCATGCTTAAACGAAAATGAAGGTCACAGCACTTTAAGGGAAAAGATATAAAAACATCACTCAAAAATAAAAGTCACATACCACAAGGGTCAGAAATGGTCCACTAAAGATAGGTTATACAGGATTTAAATCATACAGAGGGACATGTCATGGGCACAATGACGAAAAGAGAAATCATATTGCAGAAGGAGAAGAATGGGGGGCCAGCAGCCATCAATTTGTTTTAAGTCACTCCTACCCAAGGAATTTGGTTCCAGGAGGCCCCAGCTGAAGGATGCGGCTGACCAAACTTTCTCCCTCATTAAGTGGGGGAGGAGCCGTTGGCAGGTGAAGTTTACTGAGTACATCCAAAGCAGCAGTGAAAGAAAGAACATAAGTAAGCTTCAGGTATTGTTTTCCACAGAACCCCAGCATCACCAGCTGATCCACAGGGTGAACTTTGGTTTCACACTGCGTTTGGTTCTGCCCCCTCCATTGGTCACAAAGAGCAAGGAACCGAGACCCAGAGTGTACAATGGAGGCGCTTCTGTGCAAGGAAAGCACTTAGCTGTCCTGTCTGTCCCTCTTTAGGTTCACTGCCAGGGCACTAGCCAAAAAAAGGGAGGGAAAATTCTCTGCGAGAAAGACAAGCTCTTGGGAATATTATAAAAACTCTGCTCTGTACAGAGGTCAGATGTTTTCATGGATATTCCCCGACAGATTTGAAGATTATTACACAGCCTAAAACTACCTGAGCGAGCATGAGGGGAAAAGAGTCTGATACAGAATATGAGAAGAATCATCGGGGAATTGCTCCAACCCTGATGGCATTTTCTGATGCAACCCAGAACTTCACAGGCTCCTTCTAAAGCTCTGGTCTGTCTGACAGGAGGACATGAAGGGGTGGTTTCTACCGTAGGGGAATATAAACACACCCCTTTTCAGGTGTGGAAGTAATTTGGAACAACCTGCTGATAGTTTGCTCCAAATTACAAAGCTTTAGAACATTCCCTGAGTTCTAAAGCAAGAAATCCTCTCCTTAGTGTGACATCGACAAAGTCAAAGTTCATGTTTATTAGGATTTTCTCCCAGCACCAAGACTTGATATGACAAGACTTAAATACAATTGATTTGTTTCAAAATGTTTTGAAACTTGTCCCCTTCCAAAACTTCATCCTTTTATTAGTTTTCAGCTGTAGGTATTCAATTTTTTGGCATGTTGAGATGCCGCTTACAATAACAGCAGCTGTACAAACAAACAGAAGAAAGAAGAAATGCTAATTTCTGCTCAAGATTGCCAAAATGAGCATGGCGGATGTTAGTCTTGATGTTTTCATCTTAATGCAAAATCTGACTAAATAGACTGCCAATGTAATTTTAAGGCTCAAGACAGCAATTTTGATAGCAGAAAAATAATTACATAGGCCACATCTTTAGGTATTCTATTAAGGCAACACTGCTTCCCAAAGTAAAGGTAATGATTCTGTTTCATAACTATATGAGAGTTTTAATTTATGTTTGGAATACAGCTGTATTTTTTCTTTATGACTTTGCTACTTAATTCTCAGATGAGAAACAAATACCTACCATCAGCTAAAACATGGTTATTCACATTGGGAGTCTGGCAGCTATTATTACATCCAAAGAGAAAGTATAAAATCCAACCTGAATGTTTAACTCCTTAATGCCTTAAAATAAGAGGCATATAAGTGGAGTCAAGCACTGAGGCACTACTTCCAAGATTGCTTCCATAGGAGACAATCTTCTTTCAAATTGGTTTGACGTACCTTTTTCCATTCCGTCCTAGTGATTTCATGTAGCGGACACAAGCTCATCGGTGACTAAGTGGGAAGCTTATCAGAAACCCTTACCCAAGGAACTGAGCACCAGAAGGTCCAACTTCGATCAGGCGACTGGCCAGGCCCTCTCCTTCCACCATCGGAGGCATTGTTGCCAGTCTGTGGCGTTTGACCAGACGGCAGGTGACACGTGTTGGGGCAGTACATTTCCGAGGCGGAATAATGATTCGGAGCCCGTTGTGTCTGCATCCTCGCATAGCACCACCTCGGGCATCCACCATGAAACTAACCAGGAAGCTAAAAATTGAAATAAATATTAGCTATGCTTTGAAATAGCGAAGACAGATAAGCTTTGTCAAGTTAATTTTTTTCCCATAATGCTTTGTTCTCAAAGCATCTCTTTTTCATTTAAATGCATGGTGGTAAAACATTTGTTTTTAAAAGTTATTTTACTTTCTATCAATGTCTTGTTTTAATTTCTATATTATTTTAATCTGTAAGGAAGAATTCTAATTTTTGCTGACAATGAGGATATTAAACATAAACTGTAAATTAAAAATAAGCCAAATTGATTTAGAAAAAAATGGAATGAAATTATATAAGAACATCATCAAATTCCCTGTTAGTATAAATGCAAAGATGTCTGCTCCCTTAGATGTATGTCCTGAAAAATTCAAATGTTGAGCTACCATAAGGACAGAGCAGAGAGGAAAGACCAAATTGCAGCTTCTCTGCTTCCTGTTCCAGCATCATCTTACCCAGGGTACAAGTTTTTAACCTATTTACTTTCTAAAGAAGAAGGAAAGTAAAGTAATTGAATGTTTTGAATTGAACCAATTTGTTGGTTAAAATTCAGTTTGTAACTTCTCAGGTAGGAAACTCTCTGCCATACCACTCTGGACAGGGAACAACAAGAGTCCCCCTTACTCTGTTTTTGAAGTGAAATTCAGAAGTGGGAAGCCCTGAGCTCATGCTGTTGGAGGGTATGTGTGTGTCATGATTTTCTCCCAAATTACCAAAGACTGTGAAAAAGCATAGCTAATAATTTAGAAATGTAATGGCATCTTTATTATTTTTGCTCCTTTTCTGCATAGCTAATTGCCCATGAAAAGGAGAACTATATTCCAAGGTGACTTGATTTGTTTACATGTACCAAGAGAAACGATCTGTCTTAATTTTGAGATTATTTCCTTTGGAATGGTCTTAACAGATCCTGATCCAGCTTGATTTAAATGCTTGTCATTTGGTTAGCCATAATGCTTAGAAAAGTCTCTTAGGAATTCAATTTGTCAAGGGGCAAAAACTAACCAACACAGCAATCTAACTGTTGTACACACACACAAAAAGACATATACAAGCTGTGTGTATGGTCTTACACAGATTACATTAATGTCTTTTCTCATTTTCATTGCATTTGCAAGGTTTTAACAGCAAAATGGAGAGAGGAAAGCAACATTTAGGTGTATTATGGATCTACTTATGACTTAACCGTGCAGAACCATGCTAGATTTGCCACACCTAGATATTGCCTCCATGACAACACTGAAAACATCTGAAAGGTGTTTCATCAAAGTAAGTTATAGGGTAAAAACACAAAACATTTATGTTATTATCAGACAAATGAAGGAAAAATATCTTAGCATCCTCTTTATAGCAGAACACAGAACTCATTAAACATGCCATTAAACAGAAATCCTGTTGCTAGTAATAAAAAAGGGTGCAAAAGAGTCCAGAGTGCCTGTCTGAAGCACATCATGCAGGATGAGACCACAAGAGGAGGTGGCACAGTCCTCCCCACATGCAGGGGTCAGGCGAGACCTGCCACTCATACCCAGCCTCCGAGTTCTCAGGAAGCTACTCCTTCCTGTACTGGAAAATACAATCAACATTTCGGTACTGAAGTGTTGATGTTCCTGGTCTTTATCAAAACATAATGAGAAAATGTTTGCTGCTTTTCTTTTTGCAAGTCTTTAAGTATGAATTCTTGAAAAACAGTTTTTAATTTAACTTTTCAATGTACTACGGTTCAAAAGAATGAAAAAAACCTGGCAATACTTGTTTCAATTGATTCTATTTCCAAACTCATTGCAATATTTCTGATTCATGGATAATTAAGATTAAAACTTATTTTGATTTTTTTTTTCATCTCTTCACCTCCATTGGTGCACAGACAGGAACTCAAACTAGTAAGGAAGTATTATAATACATCTGCTTAGTGTCATCAATTCTCAATATTATTTGTACCTTTGAAGTCATTTAGGAAATTTCCACCCTCATGCTGCCTGTTGTTACATCTCCACCATATTTACTCCAGTGATGGTTTATGGCCTATATAAAATTAAGTCTACACCTAAAGAACATGTAGAATGTCTTCTGGTGGTCCCTTCTTTAAAGAGTGAACTGAAATAGCTACTTTCTTCACTGTAATAATGTTAAGTAATTACATATTAGATTACATTCCCTGATTTTATGTGTTTCCCTAAACCCTCTTTTGTTCTCACTTGCTCTATGATTTTCACTTTTATGCTCCTTTCATGCAACATGTGTTACCCTCCTAGGGAGCGCCAGGTGCCCTGCTAGGAACTGAAGATACAAAAAGAAAAGAAACAGCAGCTGCTGCCAAGAAGTTTGCGGTCTAAGGCTCAGATGTCATGCGATGGTTTCATCTGGCTTGGAACTGCCTACTTTCTTGGTCAATGGGAAATGACTTTGTAAGTCCACACATAAGAGTCATAGAAGAGCTTTAATGGCAGTGACCATGTTCTCCTTGGCTCTTCCTGTGTCCCATAGTGCCTAGCACAGTGTAGATGAAGCACATAGTAGGTAGTCAATAAATAATTGCCAGATAAGCAAATGATTGGGAGAGTGAAAAGAGTAAGTCTTGAGAAGTTATATCTATTTATATCTAACAGAGAAGGCTAAAATAGGAGGAATTTAATTCTTTGGTTTCTGCACAATCAGAGCAGTCAGTATTCATTTCAATCATTATATTTAGAAGTAACAAAGCAGTTGAGAAGAACCATTCTTAGTGTTAAATATTCTTCTACAGAACTGTTCCTGTTCTGATATATAGAGAAAGACTCAATATATTTATTTTCCTTGATAGGGGATTAGCGGAAAATGGGAGTAAGCAAAAAGCCAAAAGTTGGAATCTAACAAAATAAACAATTATAGTAAGAGTGAAAATTATATGAAGAAAGACAAAAGATGGGGAAATCAAAGTAAAAGTACTTAAAGATGGAAGATGCAAGTAGATAAATTTACCTATCTTAAGTATCTCTTTGTCATTATAGATCTGGAAAATAATATTTAAATATTGTACCAAAGTGCAAAGGGAATTGGAAAAGTTAAGGTGCCTATATACCTAATCCAGAGGAAAAAAATAAATAAATTTCTAAAGAAAACAAGGTTTTGTATTTTTATCAAGTAACTAAAGGAAATGTCACAGACTAAAAGCAATGGCAAGGTATAGTGACAAAATTTTCTTTAGAAGGAGAAAGAGTAGCGGGAGAAGAATGAAACAAAAAGATTGGAAGATATGAAGAGCTAAATATTAATAGTCAAAATGAGTAAAAATGTTTATAAATCTAGCAATATAATATTTAAACCTATTAGACTCAAATAACGTAACTATCAAATAACTAATAAAAACACTTAATTTATGAAATGACAAAATAAAATAAGTCTTTTCTATAAGAAGGAATAGGAAAAATAATGACTGGAGTTTACATCTAGGTGCTGATGAAAAGTCTACCGATAAACGTCAATAGTTAATCTCAATAGTTTACAATATAAAATTGGGTAATCATTTGAGCATTTTCACTAAAAATATCAGAATATCAAAAAGTGTCACTATTTGGACAGGTGATAGAGTTAGGAGATAGTAAATCTACAATATATAAAACAGCTGCAAAATAGTAAAATGCAAATTGCAAGAGACCATTTACCCTTACGTAATCATGGGAAAAGGGAAAGGCTGGAAGGCGTGAATCATGGGATGAGTCAGTTCACATGCGAGAGTTGACTCATTACATGTGATTTTCCACATGTTTGCAGATTAAAAAATGGGAAAAGATAATGCCTATAAACACTTGGAGATTAAAATAATTAATACACCAACATATAATTAAATATGTCTGAGGAGATGGTATATGGATTGAAAGTCAGCTCTGCCGTTATAAGCTTTAACAATGAAGCCTCTTTGGTCAATGAAGAGTAATCCTGTTACCACTTTACATTACTCATGTGTGAGCAAAGCACAAAGAATTCAATTAATGCTTGTTCTCATTATTTTCCTTTTTTAATACTCATGGGATTTTATATATTTTGAATATTTTAAAAGTGATAACATAATAATATAATACACCATCTGGTAAAAAAATGGAGAAAACTGACATTTATTGAGTACCTACAATGAACCCAAAACTGTGCTAAGTAGTTTTAACATGATGATGGAGTTTTTATAAGTTTACGAAACTTACTACTTAAATCAGGTATAAAAATACTGTTACCACACAGCACAGGATAAGGCAGCAAATACCATTTTCCCTCCTGGGTCTAGATACTTTATCTCTGTCTTGAATTAATGCTGTAACCTCAGGCAAACCACCTAACATGTTTCCGTTTCTGTTTTCTTATCCATAAAATAAGAGACTTCCACTAAGTAGACTCTAAGTTGACTCCCAGTGTTAAAATTCTATGCACAGTTTACTGTTAACTAGGTCAGGAAACCAACTTAAGTGTTCCATTTCAGATGCTCTGGAAGAATTCCTAATTGGAAAATAAACTGCTATTGCTTCAAGAAATGTATGCTACTTTTGTTCTATGGTTAAAACAGCTGTTTTGCAGAAAATGTGTACACACACTGCACTAAACATTGACTTAAGACCATACAGACAAAAAATATCACGTAACACACTCAGCTTTAATTGCATTTCTTACTCTCCAAATGAAATCCAGCAATCATGCAAAGTAGAAATTCTTACTGAAGTTTTCTAAATTGTGAGATACAATGTTATCACAATTTAAAGAGAATAAAAGCAAAAGCAATTCACCATTGTTATGCAGATGACTTGCCTAAAAATATGCAATTTGATTAGCTAAACAGGTACATGCTTCAGAGGAGGCAGCAGAAAACAATGATTCAGTCTTTTGAGGACCACATCCTCCACCCCAAAAGTTATTAATCCTTAGTTGGACTTTTAATTCATCGGGACCATGGGGTGGGACCAGGAGGAGATTGCGGCATTCAGACTTAGTTACTGGGTGGAGGAACAGGAAAAAAATGTCATCAGGGTGCTTCAGTGATCCACGTATACATAGCAAGAGGGCCTCAGGTTAAATCAGATTTCTGAGGTACTGTGAGAAAACTACACCATGAGCTCTTTCTTCTCTATAAGTCTCTTAATCTCTTCCTAATACTCCAAATCCACAGACTGAACAATTCATAGAAAATGGCTTTGACAAAAGTGATTCACATTTGTTAAAATAACCAAATAATTATTTATCAACCCCTCTGTTCATTTATAAAAAGGTAATATTTGGTGTGTGTTTGAGAAAAAGTATAAGGATGGATATAACAGTTTTCAAAAAGAGAATCATAGAACAGTCTTTGTTATAGACTGATAATTTGTAGTATCATAATGGATGACTATACAAGTATAATTAAAATACTGTAATTAGCAGTCTGATTAAGACCTTTAAATATAACTTTATTTAAATAAATAACTTAGGATTATGGATATTCTTAGAACACTGACTAAAGTCACTCTATAGTTCAATTATCAAAATAGCAAAAGGTTGTATTTATAGCAGCACTCACAAGGAAATGTGCTATTAATACATCTTCAGCCTTTGCCTCACCTAGAATATGCTATTGAAAAGAGCCCAAAACACATACAAAAAAAAAAACCAAAACACCCTGCTAAGTACCACTTACAATCATAACCTTTACTCAAACTTTAAGATGGCTCAATCAATTTGCATAATTGTGGGGAATTACATTTTTTAGATTTATGTAGCATCTTTTCTCCCAAAAGAAAATGAGATGAGGAGACCCAGAACCAAGACAAGCAAGTCTACATTAATTTGGGCACAGCTCCACCTAACATCCATTGAAGTTAAAAACAGCCACTTTCTCTTCACAGAGAATTCAGCAATGGCTATGATTTGGAGAACATAAATCTTTCTCTTTACTAGGTATCATCACACTAAAGCATCCTGAGGCGGAGTATACGCAGAAGGAGATGGTGAAGGGTGAGAGGACTAGGCAACATGTTCAGAGAAGGAATATGCAGAAGTTCACCTGCTGTGGTCACGATCAAGACATGGAGAGGTGCGGCTGCAACAGAATAGATACTTTAGCACAGAGAAGGAATGGATAAAGTGAAAATATAAAGACGGAAATCAGAAGTGATTTTTACGGCAATATATAATTTATATACCAATACAGTATTCATTGAAAAAAATGGAAATACAAATGAGACATAGCTCTATTTAAGTGCTGAGAGAAGACAGGGTATGGAGCTTTGTGGCCATTCCAGTTGAGAGAACTGGGGCTGTGACAAAATCACTGGATATGGATTTGTAGCCTCATTCCACGTTGGCTTGGGAGGGCACTTAGCAAAGTCAGTGTCCAAGAAGTTACAAAACATCAGAAGGTAACAGAATGAAAAGCATAAGTCTTTGATTTGATGGACATAGTTTTGACACAAAACCTTTTCATTTATATTTTTATCACTTTAAAAATAATAATGCCCTCTGGGGCTACCACAGAAGAAATGCAAACAGAAATGGCACAGTTTAAAGTGTAGCTTCAACAACAAACAGTAGCATAAACTATAAGGCAGAGTAGGTAACATTAATTACCTACTAGAAGGTAACAAAAAGCTATGCAAGCAAAGTCTTGATGCTTTTGCCAAGACTTCATTTCCTGCTTTAGGGATTGCTCTCCTTCTCACAGGTCATAATGTCTAATCCCACTATACAATCCTGTCTTTCACTCCTCTCTATCTATAAGTCTGCTCTTCCTTAAAACCCTCCATAAGTTTTCACATGGTTCTTTTGTGTTTTCAACATCTAATGACATAAAAAAGTATACATATTAAATGGACCAGAAATCCAATCTTACAAAACAGTTGTTTTGTCACAAAACCATTTTCTTCATCTAAAAGAATTTGTCTTCATGTATCTTTTTTTTTTTTGAGTTGGAGTCTCACTCTGTCGCCCAGACTGGAGTGCAGGGGCCGCTCCCGGCCACCGCAGCCTCGACCTGCTGGACCCCGGCGATCCTTCCACCTCAGCCTTCCGAGTAGCCGGAATTACAGGCATGCGCTACCACGCCTGGCTGATTTTTTGATTTATTGTAGAGATGAGGTCTCGCTGCCCAGGCGGGTCTCGAACCCGCGGGCTCAGGCAATCCACTCACCTCAGCCTCCCAAAGGCACGGGATTACAGGCTGAGCCACCGAGCCCGGCTGTCTTCATGTATCTTAAACGACCCGCAAACCCTAGTGTATTATTAAATACATGAACAACTAAATAACTGCCATAGGTACTTAGATGAACATTTATGTTTTCAATTGAGTCTTAATTTCCTTTAATTTCAAATATTCCACTCTTGGAGTATCTTCAACACGTTTTTAAAAATAGACTTTAATTTTAAGAGCAAATTTAAGTTAACAACAAAATTGCCTTTAATATATTTTTATGAAAGAGAAGTTATTTAAAAGATCACCTTCTTGTGGACTTTAGTTAATGCATCATTGTGTAGTACAACACCATAAATTGACATTTAATTGTTGGCACTTGGTTTTCATCAAAACACTACAGAACCAAAGGTCTTGGGAATAACAATGTTTAAGATGACTTACAAAGCGAGCTCTTTCTAGGAATTGTGTCTTACATCTTCTAATTCATTATGCACTTATGAAATAAGGAATTGTAAAGTTAAATCTTTGCCCAAGCTTATGTTGGCATGATCAACTGGAAATGCTAGAAATAACTGTTGGTTAAAGCCATTATGAGAGGCAACTGTTTGAAAAACAACAAAATACATTATTATTAGTCTTTCTTTTGCCTGATATTGGCTGTGTCTATTAGGCAGAACAAATTTTTAAAATATTGATACTTATTCCCTTCTAGTCATGGACATTAGTCATTGGAAACATTCAGGAAAGGTAAAATAAAGTTCTAATACTGCTTATTGGTAGAAGCTATGTCTTCTATGAATCTAAAATTCTTTTATTAAATTTAATAAAACAAATCAGTGGCATGTGCATAAAAGCTAACTTTATTATCCCCTCTATAAAAGCATCATTTTGTGTTTGTGTGTTGGAGTCTCACTCTGTCACCCAGGCTGGAGTGCAGTGGCACACTGACAGCCACTGCAGCCTCGACCTGCTGGGCTCAGAGGATCCTCTCCCCTCAGCCTTCCAAGTAGCTGTAACCACAGGCATGTGCCACCATGCTCAGTTAATTTTTTTATTTTATCATACAGACATGGTCTCAGCATCATTCTTTTTTTCCTTACATTTTGGGCAGATTTTAGGAATTCATCCACTTAATTAAGGATAATTATATAAATATATATAGGTATATATTATACAGAAATATATAAAAAGTACTACTCAGAAACCTAGTGTATATAAATACAATTACAAGCAATCAGTATTACATGATATGATAAGACGAATGTTACTCATATGCATTAATATCATGGCAGCTTTAAAATACCATGATTAGAATCATTGAGTTTTAAATGGTAATAACCCATCCTACAGAGTCATCCATTGCATTGTGTTTGTTCAGATACTAGACACTAACAGATGATAATTTATCTGATAAAAATAACAATAAACCAAATTGTCATTTAGAGATTTCAGAATACATTTGGCTCGATTTATTTGCAATTTGTGAAGGATTTGAAATATGTATGGGGATTGGATAAATACTAATGTTTATACACTACTGAGTACTTATTCTTTCCAAAATACTAATTATTTAAAAATCATTTAATTCCTTTTTTTTTTTTTTTTTTTTTGAGTTGGAGTCTCACTCTGTCGCCCAGACTGGAGTGCAGTGGCCGCTCCCGGCTACCGCAGCCTCACCTGCTGGGCGCCGGCGATCCTTCCGCCTCAGCCTTCCGAGTAGCTGGAACTACAGGTGCGCGCTACCACGCCCGGCTAATTTTTGATTTATTGTAGAGATGAGGTCTCGCCAAGTTGCCCAGGCGGGTCTTGAACCCGCGGGCTCAGGCAATCCACTCACCTCAGCCTCCCAAAGGCGCAGGATTACAGGCTGAGCCACCGAGCCCGGCAGCATTTAATTCTTATGTGATCAATAATTTAACACTTATCTTACAGATAAGTAAGCTGAAACTCAGATATTTTACCTAAATTGTGCCTAATGTCACATATTGAGTGCCAGTGTCAGGATCTGAATTCTGATAGTTATGATTTTAAAGCACAACTTTAACCATTGTGTTTCTCTCTTTTTCACAGATTAAGTGTAAAGGCTGGTGCTAGATCTTACATAGCTCTTTTCCTTGGCACTTAGCAAATGTCTGGGACTTTGTAGAATTACACAAATGTGTGAAGAATGAATGCATATGTAAAAGGAAGAAATATAGTAGAGAACATTAAAGAGAACTAGGCATACATTAATTAACTAGGTTTCTCTAATAACCAAAGCTTTGGTAAGCAAAGTTTTCCTTTCTATTCGTTTATATAAAACATCAGGACTATTGACTTATAGAAAATACCAATGTCAAGGACTCAGCAACAGAGATTCTGACATAATTGGTCTTGATTGATGGCTAAGGCACCAGTTTTGAAATCACTTAGGTGATTAACATGTACAGCTAAAGTTAAAAATTATTTTTGAGTCAGTATAGCTGTCTAAAATTCATAATAAATTTGGTTTATTGGACACTGTGTTTTAAAGATCGTTGTCTTGAGACATAATTAATCCTTAACTACTTGAAGCAGTTGGTTCATTATAGGTAATCACCATGATTACTTATAGGTGTATCTAGTTTTGTCAATTGGTATGCAATTGATGCATTTAAACTGATAATTTTATTGTCCTTCAATAATTAAATAGCTTTTTTAAAAAGTTCCTTTCTAATGTAAATGAATTATTTTGAAACTTGAAGTAATACCAATACACTGACTCTTGTTAATAATAGTTAAAATAATTCTGTCACTTTGTAGGCTAAATATGGACTTTAATTATTTCATTATGGTTTTTAGATTCTTATAAATTATCTTTTAATACTCCATATCCAGGCTTCTTTTCTTTCTTATTCATTACTGTTGAGAAATTCAGTAGCAGAATAAGATGTTTTTAAATAATTTATAGATAATTTTAATTATCTCATTAAAATATGTAAATTCAAATGAGTTTTAATTTTTTTATTCCTCTGAATAACTCACATCATTTGTATTTAACAAGAAAAAGAGTATTATGATTATTTCCAATATCTATATAACTAATTTTATATTATATGAACATTTATTTAGGAGAAGATTAGACTAAGAAATGTAAAATGTTTAACTAAGATATATTGAAAAGCTTTCCCAAAAGGAGAATATTTTAAAATAATAAAAACAGGAAAGGGTCTATTTCTGAAAATAATTTTGGAGTGTATGAATAAGAGGTTTGGGATAATAATTAAAACCAAAGTATTGCATTTTGGTGAATAAAATATGTAGGGCCTTTAAAAAAGTAATTAAATAAAAAATGGGAATTTTACATATAATTATTATATTACCATATTGTTTGAAACTACTAAAATGTAAGGAAAAAAAGGGTAGAATGTTACAATTTAAAGGTCCTTAAGAAATTTAGGTTCTACATAATTGAATAACAAAAAAAAATTTGAGAATTTTTGAAAGTACGACTTAAAGTTCTACTTTTTAATATGTTAATTAAAAGTCTGACTTTTTAATGAAAGTATGACTTAAAGTCCTACACAAACAGGCAGCATTGCTTAAACAGTGGTGTATATACTCTGAGTGACTTTAAGAAGATAACTGGCTGCCTTTTAATTTCCCTTTTTATTTATATCCCTACTTCAAACAACAAATAAATTCCTCCCTGTATTTGTGTGATTTGAAATTCTGAAAACATTATTTTAAATACATTAACATGTGAGAAAGGCATTTATTTCAAAGAAACAGTCAGTTAATCTTAATAAATAGAAACTTTCTAGAAACCAAAATGATCCTGCCCCTCTTTTCAAGATGTCTTAAAAAACAGCATGTGAATAGTAGAGAGGCCACCAGTATATTCTGGTTAGGTAGCAAGCTGTTTGACACAATTCTACTAGTTATTTTAAAACAATAGCTTTATCATGCTGAATTCAAGCCTTTTTGTTGGTTTATTGCTGTAGATAGAGTCCATGTTGGATAAAGCAATGTTATTTACAAGTTTAAACAAAGGTCACCTCTACTGTAAGGTAGCCATCAGCTAAAGCTACTGGACAAAGCTGTTATTTTCACTCCCATCTCTTTTTACCTCTTGATCTGGATACATAATATTGATTTACTCACCCTGAATGAATAGGGCTGGAAGAAAGAGCCACGTTGTCTAAGTTCTCAGTGCCCCAGCTTAGACGATAAGAGTTCCTTTCTGCCTCCTTGGCTAAAGCTGACACCTAAACACAAAGAACACTGGATTTAATAAAAATACTTTGCTCCAATTAAAGTAAAATATAATGAATCCTAAAAAGTGGCATCACTAGAGAGTGGCATTACCTAGAAAAATTTTAATTGAAAAATGTAAGATCAATGCATTTAAAATGAATCTTTTTGAATGCATTCCCTTTTAAATTATATTATCGTTATAAAATTACACTAGTGTAATTGTCTTTGAAGAGAACTGGTGTCCATCTATTTTCCTAGACCCAATCCTCCAAAAGTGACAAAATCATAACTAAAATTGAAGTATTGCAGAATAAACTTTAAGCTTTTTTCAACATATTGAAAGATACATTGACTTGTATCATTTGTCTTATACCTTAATGCATCCTACCTCACTTTTTCATTTAATAGAGGTTTTACTTTTAAAAACTATTTTTTATTATACAATCTGCACAAAAGAATTCAGTATGACTGAAGAAACAAGTAGTATATTTTTTCAGAAAAACTCTGCTCACTGAAAAATCTAGTGACCATTTTTCACGTTTTAGGAAAACCTCAGGTTTCTTATCCTAGCTTGCCAGCTGAATTAAGAAGATTCTAAAATTAATGAAAAAAAAAAAACACTTAACAACTTAACACTAATGGTCCAAATATTTCTTGGAAAAAAACCAGACTTTTTAATCCTATTAGATGACATTAACATTATCATAGAAATCAACTGTTTGTTTGCAAGAAGTAAATACAACAAATAATTTTTAAATGGAATGATCTTTTTTTAGATTAAAAACTTTCTCAGGACGTTTCTAGTATCAGATAATGTCAAAAGATAAAAGCTCTCTAGAAAGCAAAGACAAAGACAAAAATCACATACCTGGTGACTGGGGATCACAACCGAGTCGTCCATCATGGCACTGTCCCTCAGGTAGGAGGCATGGCTCAGAGTGTGAGACCTGTCGGAACTGAAGGATCGAAGGCTGGTAGGTTGGCAGGAGGTCATGGCAGTAGTAGGATTGGGAGGATAAAATGATGAGCCGAGCAGGAGAGTGAAAAAAGCGTGCTGTTAGCTAACAGTGCAACTTCCAGGGGGACACAGGTCTCTGTGTTGCCCTACCTCTCTGCCCAACAGCTAAACTAACACATCCTTTGACAGGTTCCTACCACTCAATGGCAAGGGCACAAGGGAATCCAGAAGTTAAAATTTGATACTCCTAATCTGATTCACTTTCTTCCCAGAAATGCTTGAAACCAGCAAATGTAGTTTACTTACTGCTAGTACAAGAAGTTCACACACAGGAAATAATTCCAGGATAGATTGCTTAAATCTGTATTAAAGGTAAATCTCCTTGCAACAAAGAAAAATGTTAAGAGGAAAGTAGACAGCCCTCCGAGAGAAGAACAAAATGGAAGCCGAGGTTTCATTTTCGTTCATGATTTTCCATTTTCTCTCCATGCCTCTTTCTCCTCCTCTCTAAACTGTGAATGAGTGAATGTTGGTGCATTCCCCTGGAAGGTACAGAGTGAAATGAACTGTGGCCAGAGCATGCTTCCTGCGGAAGTGGAGTTCCTCTTGTTTGTCTCTGGTGACTCCAACAATGCTATTCTCTCAAACGAGAGCTCTGGCCCTTTTGCATGTCCTGTGTGTGGTGAGTGAAGCACCAGAGAGTGTTGGTTGCCGTGGTGATGAGATGCAAGAGCACAAGGAACCGTTTCCAAGCACCAGCCCGGAACACAGACACACCTGCCAGCACAAAGACAAATTGGCAATGGACACTGACCAAAAATGAGGTTTAGCTTCAAAATGGGATTTAGGCCTTGATAATCAGTGCTTTACATTTTTGATAAGTCTGAAGTTCAAAGTTCTGAATTACATACTCAAATGTTATAGGTAACACGACATTCACATAGATGCAATTTCATTCCTTCTAAACAATTTGTAACATCAAATGACAAATAGATTGATAACTGAATAAGCTATATATTATGCATATTGTCCAAGAATTAAAGATCTGTATTCAAAATATTAGCCCAAAGCCCATAAGGAAAAAAAAAAGGGATATGCAAGCTTTCACAACATTTATAGAAGCAAGCTTTCATTTACTTTTAGCTAGTAGGTATTTGGCCAGTGAAGCACTGTAGAATTATGGACTAAATGTTAAGTTAGCATACTTGTTAGTAGAAATTACTTTCATTTTGAAAATATGTTTAAACTTATAAGTCATGTACTAGTATCTTTATGTGATGTCAATACAGGCAACTTCAATTGTCTTTGAGAAAATCATCACTTTTGCAGATAATGTTTATACATATATAAGCCTGTGTATTTATAATAAAATGAAATACAAATATAACCTGAGAATTAGCTATTTTGTACTACATAGGTTTGTGGAGAGGATTGAGGTTCCTGACAGAGTCAAGGAAGGAACGGCCTGGATGCCTTAGTAAATTAATCAACCGGAGTTTTAGCCCCAGCAATCGGAGGCAAGTTATATTATGGCTGATTTTGCAGTTTTGCAGTTGGCTTTTTGTGGTGTACTTCATAAATTGGATCAAGCTGCTGTGATGAATCTTGACCTGACCTTGAATTTGGGGCTGGGACTGGGATTAAACTATTGGGAAAAGGGTCTTTCATCTCAGCAAAGGCTTAGCTCAACTGGAAGAATGAATAACTTTTTTTTCGTGCTTTAAACAACAGAGATGGTAAACAATCACTTGAATGTGTTTTGTACCAGGCAGCACTAGAACAGCTATTCTAAAATACTATTCTACTTTATTTAGTTTTGAATTGGGCCAAGGAAGGGAAAACAGGAGCAGGGCCAACATCTTAAAATGATATGGCTTGTCTATGGGCTCAACCATCTCTCTTCATCAAGTGGTTTCTACTGGGCAGATTTGTCAATTACATACTCTCTATCCATGTATTTAGAATTCAAAGATTCAGATTAGCTTTACATATTTAAAGGTGCTAGATTAGTATGAGTCAAAAAGGACAAAAAAAGCAAGGGGCATTATAGTGTAGGACTAGAAATGCCTGCTCGTAAGAGCAAGTGAAGGTGCTATTACAAGGTGAACTGACTCTTAAATGCAACACTGGAATAGTAGAAACACTGGCTTCAAAGGGAAAATGGAAATTTAGCTTGAGTGGGAACAAACCGAATGATAAATGAAGGTACATCAAATAAAACTTAATGACACGGCTAACAGTTTTGTAAATATCTAAACAGTTAAAGAAGGCACCAGGTCTCGATTGCCATTCTCAACGACTGGTGATGGCTGGGTGGACAAGTCTGTCTATTTCAGGAACGTGGTAATAACGTTAGGCTGTGACTGTCAAGCCAAGTTCTGCAATCAGTACATCAGGAACAAAGATGGACTTTTTGGTAAATCAGTCAAACTGATATCTGGGTCTATCCCTCAATTGGTTTTCATCTGGGAGGGGTAGAGAGGTGTTGGTGTTTTCGCCTTTCCAAAACCTCAACAGAAAGAAAATACAAATGGATAAGAAAAGAAAGAAAGAGACAAAGTGACACACAACCACAAAAAGATGATTAGGGCAAAGAGAGATATGAGAATATGTAGACAGAGAATGAGAAAAGTTCGTTAGAGAGGAGGGAGAATGAGTAAGTCAGAACCATATGTCTAAGTTTCCCTTTCTCTTTATTGATTTTACTCTAGTTTACTCATTACTGCCTTCTGAAATGCTAATTGGTTATTTAATAAATGTATGTAGTTTCTAAGTGTTGTTTTTCTATGATATCACAGAATCTACTTAAATAAAATAAAGATAACTAGAATATTCCAACAGCAGATAAATTATTCTCTATAATGGAATAGTAACCAGCAAACAAAGATCCGAGATAATTTAAGTCTCTGGATCAGAAATTTTCCACCCTGATTTAAGACATTACAAATAAGTTTAAATATTTTGCAATAGAGTTGCCAACTTTTCATCAAGTCAGTGGTCCTACTTTTCAGTTAATAAATTTATAATAAAACATATCCAAAGAAGTGTAAAGTTTTATTTACTGTTCATCTGGAGGATGTGCCAAGACTTTGTTATGATCTTAATTTATACTTTAAAAAAACTATGGTACAACTGCTTTATTGTCATATATTAGATAATGTAAAAGTATACTTTCATTGAAAAGTACATTAATTACTATCTGGTAAGCGGTAATCTTTTTATACATTCAACTAACAGAGTTGCAAATCCTATTGAACAAGTGAATATCCAAAAATTTCAATGTGCTTTCTTGAAAACATAAATAAGCTTCTATGGCTCATTGCTATTTGTTATTTTATATTGAATTTGGCCAGCATTTTAAATTTGTAAGCAATAATAAAATAAAACAGACACAAAAACCAACTAATCAGAACTCGGTTGTATTTTTATTTAATGTACATTAAATTGTGTGTATTTTTATTCTTTCACATCTATGTACATTTGGGTATCAGATTCTTTTTTTTCTGTCTTCTCCAACTATAGTTGGCTGATTTGGATTGTTTTGAAGAAGCCAAAAAATGTGCCATGAACCACAAGGTGGAGCTGTGACAGTTAAAGTCATACCTGGGCATGTCACAGACTTTCATTCTAGTAATAAATTCACCTAGCTCAAATAGTTATTCAATTTAATATATACAAATACTCATTTGAGAATAAATCCATAATTCTAGAATAAAAGCACCACCCAGCAACACACACACACACACACACACACACACACACACACACACACACACAGGTTGAGCAATGAGCGGGAAATGTGGCTGTTTTCAGGAAGGACATGTTTTCATGCTATGTTAATACCTACCTGGGCATGGTACTATTGAAAGCAATTCAAATAAAGAAATAATGGAAAGGAAAAATGGTCACTGAAATGCCTAAGCAAAATAATAATAAAAAACGAAAACCATGAAAATGAGATGTTGCCTGTAACTCCACTTTGGAGATTGTGAATACATCTGGTGGTCTAGAAATGCAAGTGCAGACCTGGAGAACAGAACATGTCTTGTTTGTTTTATGTCCTTATCCTAACATGCTGGTAAGAATTCAGTTTAAGTAGAAGCATCAAACCAACCACCCTGTTTAATAGAAAGTATTATTCTAAATTCTTTCTCAATCTAAGTACCTTGAAAGAAGAAAAAATCAAATCAAGCACCTATTCTTAATGAAAGAGAACATGCTAAAAATAAAGGGTTTTTGACTGACAGTAATATGACTCTTCATAGCTTATTGACTTTGTGCAAATCCATAAACATTACATTATATTTTATTGAAATTTAAAGTCTTTTAAGAATCTCAGAATATAAGGTCCAAATCTATCAATGTATCATAACACAACCTAAGGAACACACCCCATCACCAATCCCTCTCACTCCCACTTTCAGAAGGGCTCCTCATTGTATGTTCCAACCCCAATGGCCTCTGTCTGTCACCAAAGCCAACTGGAGTAATTTTCATCTCCTTCCTCTTCTTTATCCACCTCATGAAATCCTTCATGAAATCTGGCTAGTTTCACATCCTAGGTTCGACTCAAAATTTTCATTTCTGAAATTCTCTCCATGACTGCCACCAAGGTCAGAGTTTAAGCCCTCTCATAACATCTACTGCTAATACAACTGAAGTAGGCTCTCAGATGGTTGCAACCTCCAGGTTTAGCCCTTGGACAGCTCTCCTCTAAATTTCATCTATCTATCTGGCAGAGAAATCCATCAAATATACAAATATGATTTCCTGCCCTCCACACATTCACTCCAGCAACACTGCACTACTGAGTCTCACCATCCAGTTAGCCTTTGCTCATGACCTTGTTAAGGCTTCACCTGCCCTCCCCACTTTCCTCGCCATCATTACTTGTCAATCGTTCACAGTTTGGTTTCACTTCTTTCAGGAAGCTGGAGCCTTGGGGCTTCGTGGCACTCTGTGAGCGCCACTAGTCTAGTCCCACTCCCACCCATCAGACTATGCGACACAAGCTCGTCTTAGTCATGTTTGTACTTCCATCATCTACCATGAAGCCTGGCACAGAAAGGCGTTTATTATGTCGACACTGAATTGTTTAAAATAAATGGTAAGGGAGGGGGAGGCACTGGTGCTCAAGGAAAAAGATCTGAAAGCTTGTTTTTGCTAATTATCCATTTAGACTTGATTCCTCTTTAAGGTATTTATTTTTTAGACTCTAAATATACTGTATATTCATAAAATAGCTTACAAAAGAGCCAACTTTAAAACTATAAAGTTGAGATTGTTGATTAGCAAAACATGTTACACTACATGGACAACCATATTCTTTTTCTTGTATATTTTATTTTTTAAATATAGGGTCTTGCTATGTTGTCCAGGCTGGACTCAAACTCCTGGGTGCAAGTGTTTCTCTCACCTTAGCCTCCTGAGTAGCTGGGATTACAGGCATGTGCCAACACCCCTGGCTATGACATCCTTACTCTTAACCTAAATTAGCAGTCATACTTTTGATGAGGTACCTGAGAATGTTTTTATTTAACTTACCACAAGCACCAGTTGTAATAGTTAACAATAACCAAAAAGACAACATTGATCATATATTTCAGACCATATATAAACGTTCCCAGATTTGTCTATAAAAGCGGGGTCCCTCAGATTTTGCTCAGATTGCTTCTTGTCTCCAGGCCCTAGTGGAATTTTGTTCTGATTCCTTGTCATGAAAAAGTTAGTTTCACGCATAGTTTTTAATCTGGATTTGTTTCTTTTTAACTCTGCCTCACGACATACTTTTATTCACAGCAATTACGGCACTAACAAAAAAAACACAGAGGGGATGGGATTCAGAGTGTTTACAGCTACCATTCAGTAAGAACATCTGTAAGACAAAACTATCTTTTTAGTTTGCCTAGAGAAAAAAGTGGAGATGACTATCAAAACTTCTTATTGAAAGGCAGAGAACTCTTATCCATCATGATTTTATTTCTTACTAATTGTCTGACTTTATCAAGTTATTTAATATCTCTAGGCCTTAGTTTCCTGTTCCTTAAAATGGGAACTTTTGAACGTTGCTAGAGAATGAAATAAGGTAACATGCTAACTGCTGAGAGTAGTGAGGTATCCATTAAGTGCTCAATAATTACATCTACTTTTTAATCATCACAATAAAAATATGTCACAGAAACTTCTGGCTGACAACCAAGATAAGTTTTCCATGATACCTGTCAGATCGTCCTCCCTCCAAGCTGTATCGCAGGTAATTCATACCATCCAGGAACTGGCTGCTGGGTAGTGAGTCATCACCCAGTTCTTTTAGATCCTCAGGCCTAAGGTATTCTCCCCCATCACCTGTCATGGTGTCATCGCCTTGAAAGAATCAAAGGAAGAAGTAATTGTTGAGTATAATATCAACTATAAAAATATGACCACGATTGTGAAAGACATCAGCATAAAAGCCTTGACATTAAGGAAACACTGCACACTAAAACACAGAACACAGGCAGGCAATTATAAAGTGCCAAAACTTAGAGCAACAACAGTTGATTCATTTTCTTGGTACTTACCAAGAAGAAATAATTAGCTGAATTGTAATGATTTAACACTAAGCTGGGGCAACCCCTTTTTTTTAATTTATGGAAGAAAAAATTCTAAGATGAATTCTAACTATTGATTTACTAAAACACAGATATAGTCTCCATTTGAAATGAACCTAAATTATATTTAGAAAAAAATAAGAGTTTTATAAACAATTGGAAAAACAAAGTCTATTCTTATTGATGAAAAGATGCAGGGAGTGATAGAATGCAGGATCTGTCAAGTAATATGAGCTCTACATGATGGAGCCCTTGAGCAAGAGGCCACAAGGATTATTAAAAAACCAAAAGTCGGCTTGAATATTCTCTCTTCCCTCCCCTCACTCTACTACTCCACTCCCACTCCTAAAAATCCATTGTAGTTGAGTTTTGCTTTCTGGCACCAAATTCCTAACACTGCCCAAGTTAGTATATCCGGACCCCCCTCAAAGTCCATTTGCTTTTGCATATTCCTCAAAACTCCGCTGAGTGCGGTGGCTCACGCCTATAATCTCAGCACTTAGGGAGGCAGAGGCGAGAGGATTGCCTAAGTCCATGGGTTTGGAGGTAAGAGGACTGCCTGAGCCCTGGGCAACATGGTGAGACCTCATCTCTACAATAAATCAAAAGATTTAGCTTTGCATGGTGGTGCATAGTTCCAGCTACTTGGAAGGCTAAGGCGAAAGGATCGTCAGAGCCCAGCAGGTTGAGGCTGCTGTGGCTGTGAGCTTGCCACTGCACTCCAGCCTGGGTGACAGAGTGAGACTCCCATTTAAAAAAAAAAAATCTCAAAATTCCATAACACAATAGGGTCTACATTTCAAATTTTCTTATTCCTCCCATCTGTCTTTCCCTTTTGTAAAAATTTCTGATTACACTGAGCTCCCGATTGGATGTTTGTTTCTCTTCCCCTTCATTCTCTGCATTTTGATTGAGTTGTTACATGCTATCTGCCTAAGACAGCTGCCAGGTTCAGTGCTACTAAAAGTGAGGCTTCAGAGTTTTCAAAATACCTACGGTGGCCTCAGTATGTATTCTGATTTCTTGATTATGCCTCAGAGACAAATGGCCTAAAGAAGCCAAGTCCCTAATGCTAAAATTGGAGTCTACATCCTAATCCAATGTTGGCATTAGCTGGAAAGGCACGTGTCTGGGGACTAATCTTGCCAGTGCTCTATAAAATCTTTCTCTGAGACACTTGTGTACAAAGCATGCTATTCAGTAGTACATATCAGCAATGCCAGATGGGGAGTAAGTACCTGGAGAAATTAGTAGAATGGGGAAAAAAAATTACCCAAGGTGGTCCATAACTAGAAAATTCTGCATACAGCTCAAAGTTTTACACATTTTTAATGTATTTCCCAAATAAGGTACTCATAGTCTTGCTTCCTTGGTAGGCAAAGGGAGTCTTGCCAGTCCAAGGCTAGTCCACCCCTGTCCAGATCCTCCTCCTCTCCCATCTTGCCTGCTAGATCCTTCATCTTCAACTTCCCCTCCTCTGTCGCAGATCCTGTGGCAGTCTTTCCCCTTCCACAGACAAGACATCCATGTGTCTGCCATCTTTGAAACACAGAAACTTCCCCAACTCTTAGACCTTCTTCATTTCACTCTCTTCCTCCTCTTCCTTTCATAGTCACACCTATTAAGCAGATGTTTGGACCATTGCCTTGCTAGACTCTGGTGTGGCCATGTGCTCTTTGAGCTATGGCTGTCGCCATGCTTCCTGGCTTTGGCCCCCTCCCCTACCTTGGAGAGGTGAATCTTCTCTTTCTCTCTCTCTCTCTCTCTCTCTCTCTCTCTCTCTCTCTGTCTCTAATTTACTTTTAAATAATCTATATTTTCTAATCTAAAAAACAAACAAGTAAGCAAACAAAAAAACAGATGTTTGCTAGTTTTAGCAATTAATCAGTGGTCAAGAAGTGATTTCTAACAAAGTGGAGTGGTCACAAGGGCTCCCCATCCTGACAATCCCTCATGATGCCAGCAAGAAGGAGATTCTCTGAAATGTCACTGAAGCTGCACCCTCTTAAGCAATTTTCTTTCCTGCTGAGATATGGGAAAGGACTGAAACCTGAGATGAGGAGCACCACCAAGTGTCCAGTGTTTGCAACAGAAGTTAGTGTGTCAAAGGAGACAGGTAGCGCCTCTATATTTTATCCCAGCACTCAGTCATCCTGGAGTTCTCTTGATTACTAGTGCACGTCATTACCAGCACTGATGGAGGAGTGTGCACAAGCCATCCACCCATAAATCTGTGAGAATAAGGCATATGTGAGTCACATTTCTACAGACATTTTGGTTATACGGGTGTTAAAACCCCTGAGCCCCACCCTATCATTTACAGCTGTAGAGATGAGTCAGCAAAGACGGGGATCAGCTCAGGATCCTATGAAGATGCAAAGGATTGCATTCACATCTTTGGTTAAGTCTAGGTGTTACAATTCTCTTAGAGTGAATTTTAATTTTGTCTTCTCCTTGCATTCCCCTGTCACGCCCTTCCACAGGGACATTATTTATATCGTCGCTGAGGTATGACAACGGTTTTCATACTAGGTTTAATTTTCAAATCCACCACTTAATAGCTGTATGTCACTGAACAAATGATTCGATGTCTCTAGGCCTTGTTCTCCTCACCTGAAAAAAATGTAGAAGGAAATCCATAGCCTGTGTCAAGGGGATTAAATGTGGCAAAGTACCTAGTGTGACAGAGGTTTTGTAAATATTTTATCTTCCCTTGGATATTTGCTTCCTTCTAGTTTCTTCTATGCTTCTTCAGTGTGCCACTGCTGGTTTAATCTTTGTAAACACAGATTTAGTTGTTTCAGTCATTAATGAAATATTTAAAGTATCCTGTTTTCCAGACTTTTCAACTAAGAATTCAAACACTCCACAACTGAGCCCCATATGTTTTTATGCACCAGCCAAACAAAATGACTGGATGATTTTGTCACTCTGTGTCTCTCCCCTGCACTTTCCTATCTCAAGATCTTCCCATACTGCTCCTTCCCTACTCCTGAAAGTTCTGCCACACTGTTATTAATCTCTCTTCTCTCAGCAAGTCCATGAGCCTGTGCTAGGTAACTCTATCTCCTGATCTCCCCAAGCAGATATGAAAAACAGATAGCACAGTCCCTTCCATTATACTTTAAAATTCATACATTCTCTCTGTATAGGTTTTCTAAAGCCATGCCCCCGGTTCACCTTTGATTCCACTGTGGCACCAGTTATGAGCTTTCCACACAATAATGTCACACTTATTATTTGTTCATGGGTGTCATGAGTGGATATTGCTGATTGCTTTATTATGTATATAGTAAGTTACCCTGAAAGGGCATCTATACTTATTTTGAATACTCTTTCGGGGTGCTGATACACTGTTCCTATGATTAACATAGGATGCTGTAGAAAAAACCAGGATTGGCTAAGCACTTCCAAACATATGTGGCTGCATTTTGTCCACATGGATGACAGCAGGTTTCATAAAAACACATTAGTCATACAAAACATTAAAGGGTTGGCATTGGCAATTTCAGCCAGTCAACTCCTTTACACTAATTCTCTGCATACAAAAATGGAAAACTTCTCTTACCACAAAAGATACTCTTGGTCATTCACCAATACTATTCTCAGATCAGGAGTTCCTATCACCAATAACTTTTAATTTATATTTTAATAATACAATAATTAATAATGTTCTATAATAAGCACATTAAGTTAATGAATTTATAAATATATTAATTTAATAAATAATGCACATATTAATGAATGTAATATAATAATTTAATAATTCTCCATAAGAAAACTGATTTAATAACATTTTAATAATAAAATTACAGCATGTTATGACTAACTTCATTTTATATAATAGGCAGGTCTGAGAGGTTATGTAATATAAATTGAAATTTTTATAAAACCAATAATAAATACTTTAAGTATCATTAACAGCATTAATAGCTAATGGAATTCTTTAACAATCATTTTGTAAATAGAGGGCTGTTTTTGAATTAAGTAATCGTTACCTAATTTATCCGATTTATAAATTTAGATCTTTACATAATAGCATTGCTTAAAATGGTACCAAATATACTTTGGAAACTTCTTGCTAGGTAGAATGTTTTATATTATTCATTTTTCCCTATATGTCAAATTCACCCAAAAAATTTTTTAAATTTACTTTACCTCTTTTCTTAGCTATCACAAAAATTACATTATAACTATTTATTTAATATATTTTAAACACACCTAAAATACATCAACCAAGAAGGATGATAGGAACTGCATTCATTTCAAGCAGTCTTAGTTAATAACATGTTCATGGTAAGTCATTGTCAACAAAGGATTACTTTTTCTCTAAATTTATATTCTAAGAGAGATATTAATTGTGGAAAAATATTTATAATGTTCACCAGATAATGTTATCATGTTAGTAGGTCTCAATAATAGCTGTAAAATCATTAACAGTGTAAACAGTTCATGGCTTTAAGTTTCCAAGTTAATAAAATCCACACACTCAAATGCACTCATATACAATTCCACCCATATTATACATGCTATTTCAAAATAAACAGATTAGTATTAGGCACACAGATTTAGACATCAGTCAAGTTGTTTCTACCCAGGTAAGAAAAATTAAAAGCAAAGAAAATCTTTCACTACTACAATTTCCTCTAATGGTACCTGAATCACTAAGTGCTTCCCCATCAATAAAGTGGTCACCAAACTGCTTAAAAGCTGTTTGACATATACATACAAGTAAAGATAAGAAAGATGATCCCAAAAAACAAAATATGGTATGCATATAGGAATACTGAAAATTAGTTGGCAAGTATTAAGACAGAACACAAAATTATAGTAAGTACTTGGAACTGTTGGCTTTGGTAATACCTTTTAATTTACTCATAATAACATAACAATCCAATGTTTGTTCATTCTTGTCATAAATTCTTTAAAAGCTGAGAAACTCAATGTCTATTACAATAGGTGATTTAATAAATTACTTCCAAATAGGAACATCTCAATGCAAAGTGTCACTTTATGATTTTTCTCTCTAAGAATCTAAAGAAATATCTTTATATTTTCTACATAAAATCAATTAATATTAGGCCTACTTCTACCTTCATGGCAATAATTTTTCAACCATACACATTTTTCACATACATATATGGCAGTAAGTTTCCAATCAAATACACTAGACCAACAGCTGCACTACTGAAATTTAGTTGCATATTTTATATGTTGCTTTGATGATTTTTTTAGCAGCAGATTTTTTGTTTGAGTGGAATATTATATAGACAGTCAAAATATAAAACAAAGAAAAGTCAACTACCCTAGTTGAAGTAGAGCAAGGGAGCCAGACACCCTACTGGCTGACTTCTACCCCTAGCAAGATGCCACTCCCACTCCGGGTAGTTCCTAATGCTCCTTTTAGAAAAGCAGGCTTCTCAGGACTGTGGAATCCAATGCCTTGATTTTTTTTTTTTTTTTTTGAGTTGGAGTGTCACTCTGTCGCCCAGACTAGAGTGCAGTGCCACACTTCCAGCCACAGCAGCCTCGACCTGCTGGGCTCCGGCGATTCTTCCGCCTCAGCCTTCCAAGTAGCCGGAATTACAGGCACACGCTACCACACCCGGCTAATTTTTGATATATTGTAGAGACAAGGTCTTGCCAAGTTGCACTGGCGGGTCTCGAACCCGCGGGCTCAGGCAATCCATTCACCTCGGCCTCCCAAAGCGCGGGATTACAGGCTGAGCCACCGAGCCCGGCCGAATATTTTTTTAAATCAACACTAAAACTATAGAGGGCATATTTTCTGACTTAGAGAATCACATTCTTCTTGTGAGTCCCTATTACTTGCTGCTGTGCTATTTTTTTAGCCTTCCCTAAGGCTATTTTCCTCTGTATTTAAATTCTCTATATATGAACCAATCAGAATGCAGAGATTTCTCAACTGCTGAAGAATACCCAATGATGGAGTGTACTTTAAGGACTTTAAAGCATTTGAATAAGAACATGTTTTAAACATAATTAAAACACATTTTAATGATAATTGTATTATTAAGTAGTTATTTTAACACACGACCAGTTTCCAGTTTCTTTCCCTTTTCCAGTCCTGTTATTTAATAGGCATTAGGAAAAAAGTATACTAATCAGAGCCTCCCCCACCCCACTGCCATTGTAAAAATGCGACGAGGAACCCCAAACAAACTGGAATTATTTTTTGGAGGGTGGGCCCCTTGTGGTACAGGTTCCCCCCACTAGATAAATGTTCTAGGAACCCATCGACATCAGTGTACCGGCTAGCATTGTTGTGAGAAGCTGTGTTCAGCTTCAGTGAAATTTTTTTGGAGATTCTTTCAACACATTTGTTTGCCCATTTCATGATGGGTGATATATATAAACAACCCATCAACACCATGCTGAGTGTTTAGCAGTCTTTGGCAAAAAACAGAATGACTCCCTATGCCCTACCCTCCCTATTCATTAGATCTTACCCAGAGTGACTTTTTGTTTCCCCAGATGAAAAAAGTCCTCAAAGGGAAACATTTTGCAAATGTGGAAAAGGTAGAACAAAAAATGCCAGAAGCACTAAAGGCATCAAAATCGACGAGTTCATAAACTGTTTTGAGAAGTGGAAAACGTGTCATGATAGGTATATTGCATCAAACAGAGAGTACTTTGAAGGTGCCTGAAGTTTAAACTGAAGTTTAAAATTGTGTATGAATAAATACACAATTTTTTATAAATAGATTCTGGGGTTTTTTTGGTCTCCCCTCATAAACATATTGAAATGAAGACAAAGAAGTGACTTTGAATACTAAGATGCTATCACCCACAGCACAGCTTAGTCCCTGAAAAAAAGGATGATTTGCCCATGTGTAAGAACAAGATATGCTTCAAAGAAGACTGAATAAAAGTCTTACCCTCTTCATCAGAAACATCGAGAACCTCAGTCATCGTCTCAGGAACATTTAGCTTGTGTTTTTCTGTGATGGTCTGGAAAAACAAAAATCATTAATGCTCAAGTTAAAAACAAAACCAAACAATAGATGCAAATAATCACAGAGAGGGTCATACTCAATAGCAGCAACAAGTCATCAGGCCCTGGACATTCTATCTTTTCCACATGTATACTTTGGAAACTTACTTTTTCCCATGACAACTCATTTGTTCTTTCTGAAGATAAATGATCATTTACTCCAGAGAAGTTGTACAAGAGACAGTTCATTATTTTGAGTTCTCATTTGAAAAATACGTTTTTTAGCAATGGCATTAAAAATGAGTCATATGGAGAAAGCAGATGAATGTTTTCAGGACCTCCCTAAAATGAACTTAGTGATGTTTCCAGGAGACTTCGAAAAAGAAGCAATGAACATATGCAATTTATTAAAAGCAACACCATTACCAGAGAAGATGTAAACAATGTGAAAGACATAAACTATCTGGGCAGAAAATGTGACACATCTCTTCTCGAATCAGAGGAGCAACAACAGGGAATCAATCATCTTTATAATATTTTATTGGGCTAAAGTTCTGATTTGTTGCTTATTTGACTTCCATGATAGCACTCCCGAATTGTCAAATCTTACTCTGTCATTCCTGATGTAGAGTGTAAGGTGAAGAGTGAAGTGTCTGGAGTCCAGCTGTCTGAGTTCACCACTTATTAACTATGAAGCCTTAGCAAGTCTCCTAACCTGACTGTGCCTCAATTTCCTCATCTGTGAAAAAGGGATAAATAGTACTTCATAAAATTGTTATAAAGATTAAATGATGTAATATATGCAAAAGCTCTAAGAATAGTGCTTGGCATATATTAGTACTCAATAAATATTAGCAAAATTTAATTTATTATTATTGCCATTCAATATTAAATGCATCTTAAAAATAAAGAGCCGCTGAACTTTTTAGTTATTCGTGCACTCAAAAAACATTGTGAGTGCTTACTTCATGCTACATACTGTTTTAGACATCAGAGAAAACACAATGATTATTTTTAAATGATATAAATAAGTCAGGCACAGAAAGAAAAAAAACTGTGTGATCTCATATATGAAACCTAAAAAAACTCATAGAAGCAGAGAATAGAATGATGGTCACCAGGTGCTGGAGATGGATGGGGGCGGAGTATTAAAAAGGTGTTGGTCAAGGGATACAAAATTTAGTCAGACGGGAGAAATAAATTCAAGAGATCTATTGTACAACATGGTGACTACAGTTAATAACAATGTACTGTGTACCTGGAAATTGCTAAGATGGTAGATTTTAAGTGTTGTCACTATTAAGTGAGGTAATAGACATGTTCATTAGCCTAACTTGGCATTCCACAATGTATACATATATCAAAACATCATGCTTTGTACCATAAGTATGTTCAATTTCATTTGCCTACTTAAATAAAAGATATACGTACCAAAAAAGATTAAAATCCAAATTCCATCACTTTTAATATCACCTAAAGACTATTCAGTGTCAAATTCATACCTGCAGTTTCTGTACTAAAAATGTATTAAGTACATCAAGTGATACGGTTCTGAGAACTTTAAGAAAATGAACTCCTTGACATAAGCATGAAATCTGCAACTAAGCTGGGCTGGGTGGCTCAGCCTGTAATCCCAGCACTTTGGGAGGCCGAAGTGAGTGGATTCCCCAAGCCCATGGGTTTGAGACTAGCCTGGGCAACTTGGTAAGACCTTGTCTCTACAATTAAAAAAAAAAAAAAATCTGCAACTAAAGCCACCAAAGTACAAGAAATAGGTTGACTAATTTTTTAAAGCTTTCGCACATAAGTATTAGAGACTTGTTTGAATGGCTATAATAACCCTATCAATCAATTATTTTATTTCCAAAAGCAGTAGAGAACTTCAAACATATTTACAAAGAAATTCAACTGGCTAATTAATTAAATTCAACTGGGTAATTACGAATATGTACATGTGTAACAGCTGTGAGTTAAGAGGGAGTGAACATCATGTGACACTGCATAAGCCCCCCCAGTGGCTCTCCATCTTCTTCAGGACTGAATGAACTGGCTCAGTGGGTCAGAAGACGCTTCGTGCTACAATAAAGAGGAAGAGGAAACGAGGCCTCACCTCTCACTCTACGCTACCTCCATGCTGAGCTGCTTTTATTTTCTTATCAGGTCATGTTCCCTCAAGCCTCTGACTTTTTCCACATAATCTTTCATCTACAAGAAATCTTTTTTTCCTTGGCTCATATTAGATGTGACTCCCTCGGAGAAACAATCCCTGTTCCTCCCCAGTGACTTTCTTTGTTTAACTGTGTTTATTTTCTGCTATGTACTCCTGGAGAATCATGTATGCCTCATTGTAAATAGCTAATTGCGTATGCCTTATCTGCTCAACTGCCTCCCACAGCTGAGTGTGAGTCTCCGAAGAGGAAGATTGCTGGCCCGGCTCGGTGGTTCAGCATGTAATCACAGCACTTTGGGAGGCTGAGGCAAGTGGATTGCCTGAGCCCAAGGGTTCGAGACCAGCCTGGGCAACTTGGCCGGACTGTGTCTCTACAATAAATCAAAAATTAGCCGGGCATGGTAGCACGCACCTGTAGTTCCAGCTACTTGGAAGGCTGAGGCGGAAGGGTCGCTGGAGCCCAGTGGGTCAGGTTGATGCTGGGGTGGCCATGAGTGTGCCACTGCACTCCAGCCTGGGCGACGGAGTGAGACTCCAACTCAAAAAAAAAAAAAAAAAGAGGAAGACTACTTCCAAAGAAACATAGTAAGAGCTTCTCTCAAATATACATTGAAAAACTGGTGACAAAAAATAGTGCAAAAAAAATACACTTAAAATCCACGTAATGCCTAAATAGATTTTCCTTGGTGTGAAATTTCAGTTAAAAGAGCAGAAAGAAACAAATAGAAAGGAAACATTTCATGCTATTCACATGAAGACATAGTTGGAGACTATGGTATAATTCATTTTGCCTGCATATTTCCAGTGATGTTTAAATAATTTCATAGTGTTTTATTCACTGAAAGCAAACTCAGTGCTGCAGGAAAAACAAAAGCATTCGTCCAAAGATCTGGAAAATAGTAGGTGGTTGACAAATATGTATTGAATGAACAAACTCAAAAGTCTCTTATAGCACAGCACTTGATTATTTTATATTGTAAATTTAACACAGATAAATTATAGCTTATGTTCTATATTAATGGTATTCAATTCTAGCAGCATATTATAATTACTAGAAAAATTTTTTTAAAATTTTACTTGGGTTCCATGACAGACCAATTAAATAAAAAATCCCTGGAGATAGGGCCCAGCTATAATAGCATACAAGGTATTTTTTGAAAGTTTCTTTGATGAGTCCATTGTGCAGCTCAATTGGTGATTCATTTTCCTGTTTCATGGAAAGTGTACAAATTGCAGAAAAACTGTATGTATTTAAAATATGAGATAGATAGGCTTCATCCCTGGGACGCAAGGCTGGTTCAACATTTGTAAAACAATAAATGTAATTAAATAAATCAACAGATGTCAAAACAAAAACCACA